AACCAAAGCAATGGAACAGGATTAATATTCAACACTACAATGCAAAATAAATAAATCAATGAATAAATATGTAAATAAATTTTTCCAGAGTTGAAAGAAAATCTGAAATTGCATTTTGAAAAGCATTATCAGGTATCTGGGGAAAAAAAGTTAGCCAAATTGAACAACTCAGAGACATTTACTAGTAAAAGTATTCAGTTGAAAGATACAGAAAAATCCCAAAGGACTCCAGGAAAAAGAAAAGATGAAATAAATAACAAGGGCTATAGAATTGGCCTGGTATCAGACTTCTCAAAAATAACACAAAAAGCAAGTTACCAGTGAAATGGACTTAAAAAGAAAACTCAATGAAAGAAAGCACAAATTGAGGATTTTACATAGTCAATCTCTCCTTCAAGTATTAAGCCAACAGAAAAGTAGTTTTCAGCATAAAACAAATTCTTGAAAAATCTACTCAAAGAAGAGATGACTAGAAAAACTTCAGCAAAAAAAAAAAAAAAGAAAGAAATGAGAAGAATTTTAACATGTATTGATGCAGATCAAAGATTAAAACAAAGATTGAGACAAGAGTGTAAAACTAATTTACAAATATTATATGTGGTGACAAAGCAGAAAATATGCAACTAAAAATAATAGAGCAAAGGAGAGGGAAAGAAGAAATTGGAAAAATCGAATTGATTATTGTACAGGCAGCATGTGGGAGTTAAATGATATCAATATCTGATAATCCAAAGATCAAAGGGCTAAAAAAAAAAAGAGGACTAAGGCCATTAAGAAAAAACTTAAAAGCACAAAGTTAAAACTAGAACAAAATCATGCAACTTCCAGAATACTAAAATAGAAGTATTATTATGTGCAAAGAATCCACTTATATAAAAACATAGCAAATAAAACTACAATATTATGACAGAATTTAGAACAAACCTATCAATCTTATCAATAAATAAGATGAAATTAAATTATCTATCAAAAGAAAAAAATTTCATTTTGACTTACAAAGCAAGACCCCATGACACATCATACATAAGAGACAATATGAACAAAGTGATTCATAAAGGCAAACGCTAATGATATGAACAGAGAGACACCAGGCAAAGAAGGCAGGAGTAGCAATCCTGATAACAGATGAAATAGAACTGAAGTCAAATAGCCTTGAATGTGACAAAGTCTTTTTTTAAATACTTAAAGCCACAAGTCATTATGAAGATATAGCACTTAAAACATTTACATACCATGTAACTATGCAACTACCTTCATGAGGCGAAATCTACAGAAGAAAGGAATTATAAACAGTAGCACTAAAAACTAAAAGGTAAAAAGAAATCATTAAATTTTCACCTTAAAATTCAGAAAAAGAACAAAAAGTAAAGTAAAATAAAAATAATGAAGGTTATAATAAAGACAAAGTAGAAATTTATGAGATAGTGAATGAATAAACTGTGGAATTCACCAATAAGTAGAAATACTATTTTGTTATGTTTTGTTTTTTTCAGGGGAGGTATAAACAAAATAGAAAAAATATTATCCTTGTTTTTCTTGATCAAAATAAAAGGGAGGGGTGGTGTCATTTTATAGTATATAATGTAGGAAACAACTTCAGGAAATATACATTAAATATTGAAATGGAATAATATATATATTTTCAATACTAAGAGACTACTTGGAAAGCTTTGCAAATAAACTTGAAAATCTAGATAAAAGGGATATTTTTCTAGGGAAATATTGATTACCAAAATTGACTCTGTTAAAAATAGAAAGCATAAACAGATCAATTTTCATAGGAAAATAAAATGATTGAGTAACAATTCCAAAAAAGCCTAAACATGGATGATATTACAGTGGAATTCTTCCAAACCTGCAAAAGGCAGATAATCCTAATGCCATATAAATTGCTAGATATTTGAGAATAAAGGCTAACTCATTTTCATAGAGCAAGAATAAAAAGGATATTTTTAAAAAATGAAGACAGTACTAAAAAATAAAATGGCAGGTTAATATCACTCATGAAATACCAGTGCAAAATACTAAACAATATATTAACAAACAGAATTCAATATTGCAGTAAATAAATAATGTATCATGTCCAACAGGGTAATCTATATTTCCCTAGAAAAATATATCATGTCCAATAGGGCTTGAGAAAAATGCATAAAACCTCACACTAACAATGAAAACATCAGAAAAATGCAAATTCAGGGTCACTCAACTGGCCAGTATTCTTTAAAATTATTAAAGTCATGAAAGAAATGGAACTAAGAAACTATACCAGATTGGAAGAGAGTAAGGAAACATGAGAACAAAATGCAATTCATGATTTTGGTTGAGGTTCTGAACCAGAAAAAAAAGACATGAGTGAGGCACCAGACAAAATTAGAAAAAGTCTGTAGAATAGTAAATAGAATTGTATCAATATTATTTTCTTGATTGAGGTGAGTGTTCTATAAGATGTTGCCATTAGGTTATCATTAAGGGTTGATGGGAATTACATGTACAGATGCTATTTTACTAAGTCTAAAATTCATTTTGAAATAATATAATTAAAACAATCTGGGGAAACAGCAAATTATATCCAAGGAAAACAGATTAACATGATAAACCAAGTATTATGACATGATAAAATTTAAGATTTAAGATAAAATTTAAGATTGTTCAACACAGAAAAGTAGCAAAGTCAAAATTTTATTATACGACAATATTAATAAAATTGAAAAAGTCTCTCAAGATTAATTAATGAAGAAACATTACTGACAGAAATGACAAAAAATAAAAAATCACAGCTCCTAAAAACATTAAAAATATCACAAAAGATACTATAAAACAATTCAACCTAGTAAATTTCAAAATTTAGATTAAATTTCTTGCAAAGTTCAACTTATCAAAACTGACAAAAGAAGAACAGAAAGTTTACATATACTTATATCTATTTGAAAAGTAGAACTGTCAAAAAGTTTTCCCAAAAAGCAAACTTTAAGCCAACATGACTTGGCCAAAGAATTCTTCCAAATATTTAAGAAAAAAAGAGCATCCATGTTAGATAAACTCAGAGATGAAAAGAGAGAGAAAACATAACTCATGAGGAGATACTAGCATAGTCTTGATTCCAAAACTGAAAAAGACATTACAGAAAGTAAAATAATTGGCCAATATCCTTCATAAACATAGATATAATATTCCAAACCAAAATATTAGCACATTGAATTTAGTGATATTTTTAAAGTTTCCTATGTCAGAATCAACTGTCATTTATTAACAGAAGCAAACAGTTTGTTTTAAAAATTATCCAAAGTTATTTAGAGAATAAATAGTAAAAAGAATAAAGGGTTAAATATGATTAATATGATTGCTTCTATATAATGCACAGAGAGTATTTGAAACACCAGGGCAGAAAAACTAGCAAAATAAAAAGAGAAGGTAACCAACAGAGTGTCTTAGAAAAAGAGACCTCAGCAAATGTCATACATACTAGTACAATATGGATTGCTTTCTCTGATATCTGGAACAGGCCAAGATTGTTCAGTATTGTACTCTAGTCCTTGCCAGTGCAATATGGCATAAAAAAGTATAATTTTGGAAATGAAGAAGTAAAATATTTGTGGAATATACTAAAAAGCATATGTCCTTCACAGGGCCTGGTTTTCCAAAGCCTTGCAGTTTCAAATATTGACCTTGCAAGGACTGGAAATTTCCCTCAGGCTATAAGTCTCTGGTTTAAGATAAAGATTTGTGGCAATATATATATTTTCAATACTAAGAGACTACTTGGAAAGCTTTGCAAATAAACTTGAAAATCTAGATAAAAGGGATATTTTCATCTGGCTTGTTTCACTGAAAGTTACCAGCCTATATTGTTAAACTATAACTCCACCTATGTCTCTTCCTGTAACTTCCTGGTCTGGAAAATAAATGCAGGAAGAGAACACCAATCCGGGTTTAATTTCCCAAGGAAAGAATGGCTCTCGCTTGAGCATTCCCAGGGAGATTAACCACTTCGGGGCCTCTCACTGCTCAGTAGAGATGGGCTTTGAGTAATCCTTTGCGTCTCCATCACCCAGGGGAAGTGGGCTGACAAATCCGTGGGAAGCGAAGCAATGCAAAGCAACAAATATTCATTATTTGTAAAAACAATCATTATTCTCTGTGTAATAGACAATAAAACAATAAATAATTAAAATGATAAGCAAATTTAGCAAGGGTTTTAAGAATAAATATGCAAAAAATCTATTATATTTATATATACTGATAATATAAAATTAGAAAATAACTTTAAAAAAATTTGTTTACACTTTCATCAAAAGTCCAAATATATGACATTAAATTTAACAAAACATATGCAACACATCTTTACAGAAAATGTTAAAAAATTAAATATATAAATAGAAAAATATATAGTACTGATGAACTTAGTATGGTAAAACTTCAATGTGGTAAAGATTTCAATGTCCTTATGTTGACTATTGATTTAATGCAATCTTAATGAAAACCTTTGCTGATTTATGTTTGTTTGGTTGTTTTAAAGAGTCATGGGCTGGGGGCTTACAAGTTAATTATGTTACAAAATGTATACATAAATGTAAAGGACAGAGTAACACTCTTGAAGAAAACCAAAGTTAATTACCTACATTAACTATAAAACTTATAATTCTACATTGATTAAAACAGTACGGCACTGGCACAAAATTAAAACTCCTACTTACTCTTCAGCTATTAAGTCTTTTATGAAGTACTTAGCCTTTCAGGCAGTTTTATCAAAAATCTGCTGTAACCCCTTTTATTGTAGTAGTTGTAAAATAATTACATCGAAGATGTTTACATGTCTTTTTTTCTCACCTCAGCCCGTGAACTTCTCAAACACAGTGGCCATTCCAACTAATAATCCTCAGACCCATCAGGATCTCTGGCATACATCAGAAATTCAAAGAATATGAGACAAATGATTCAAATAGCTCAGTGCAGATATTTTTCATAGTCACCAAAATCCCAAAATGATAACTCAAACTTACCTCCAATATCTGGACGAAGTTTATTGTCATAACCTTGAAGCAATGAGTTGAGAATTTGTGTGATATCTCCTTCATGAATTTTTGGTGCCAAGACCCAAGTTTTGTTCACTGTTAAATCCTCATCATCTTCATCATCTGCTTTATCAATACTAAATAATCAAAAAAAAAAATTAGATGACAGAAAGTTCAATTAAAAAAAGTTTAAAATTATTATAAATGCATAAAAAAGTAGTAAGAGGGAGGAAAAAGCATTACAGAAATGTTACTTCAATAAGACTAATGCCTTCATCATATGAGCTGTCCTCACATAATAATACTCAAAAATTAAGAATATAGTGTAATAAATATAATATGCAATATTAAAATAATAAAATAAAT